TTTAACCAGAGGGACACCGAGGCCAAGCGAACACACACTTAAGTGTCCCATTAGGGTACGGACATGTCCTGCTTCAAAAGCCTCTTAAAAAGTCAAATTTGACACTAGCTGAAAGAAGAACAGGTCGCTGTAAAGCTCAACACTGCCGTCAGCATAAACTGTACAGTCAAGAAGAGCTTTACTCAGCATTCAAGTCCGAAGTTTCACGGTCCATTTATTGCTGTGGTATATATTGTTCATGCCATATCACATGGGGACAAATCATTTCTATCAAACGCTTGAGTGACTCTGGATGATACGGAGTATCCAATAATCTCACATCAATCTCCTCATGACATGATAGTAGATACAGGATACTATTACATAAAGCTTCCCTCAGAGTCTGACAGGAGCTACAGCATACACAGTATTCAGGGCACATCTGTCACTAAGGCTTTCAGCCTGTATGTATTTGTGTGGAACTGTGGAAAATTCTTTACTTATAGAGTCACATCGTACCTTTGGGTGCATCAGGATTTATAGTGGTTGTACAACCATAATTATATAATTGGTTGTTAAAGGTTAACAAGTGGAAAATTCATACCACAAATCCCCATCCCTGCATTGTCTATCACAATGATAGACATAAATATGGAATAAGTGGTCGTATGATGAATTAGTAAATAAATAAACATGACATTATGAAAGCGAGAAAGCCAGTCATGCGGGGAAGGCCGATGATGTCAGCGCTCAGACATCCTCTTTATGGATCAGTCCACAAATCAGCGCAGCACCTGGGAAAGCACTTCCCCACGATGAACACAGCCGGCAGGCAGCAGGCGGCCAACAGCCAGCCAGCCGTGTGAGGAACAAAACAATAATAGGCCTAAAACCTTAAGGCAAACACAAAGTTCACACCTTACGAAATCCTCTTATGATTTACTTTGAAGGGGCTTACTAAAAATAGTAACTCTAGTAAAAAAACAAAAAACTGTTAGTTGGCAAAAGATAAAAGCTGTTGAATTCTTAACTCCACCTCTCACTCATTGGGAGCCCAGTTAGCTCTGGGATGCTATGAGGAACTATGTAGCCTCGGTTGCATGTCGTCCATCCTTCTATTCCCTTCTCAATATTTTCATGTCACTCTCCAATGTTATGCGTTAAAGGCATTTGGTTAGCTTAGCACAAAAGCTGGAGTCTCCACTGGCTGTCTGGCCACCAAAACCCCCTGTAAAACCACACCATGGCAGTTTTACACTTTTGTACATGACACAAATAACAAGCTGATAATTAGTGAACTTTAGCGGAGCTAGTAGGGAGATAGCTAGCCAGGCTAGCAGACCGTTTCCAGTATTTAGCTAACCTGCCGCTGGCTTTAGCTTCTTACACCCTGGACAACTTAAACGTAACCTTTATTTTAACCGTCACATACGTTCAAGAGTTAAGGAGCAGTGGGCTGTTGTAAACGTCCCGGGGATCAACTTGGGGTTCAGAGTCTCGCTCAAGGACACTCCTGAATGCGGACAAGGATCCTTGCGGAGCCAATTATCGAACCGCCAACCTTGTAATTAAAGGACGGCCCGCTCAGAACCCCTGAGGCACAGTCGCCCCCAGAGTTTCTTCAGCTTTCACTGGCCAGATTATTAACCTCTCTTGCGATCAACATGAATACTCTTTTAGTGCTGTCCTGATGGGACAGACTAAACAGCAACACAAAGAGTACTGGTGGTCAAGCTACTGTGGGAATGTGGATTAACCAACCTGCTAAATGCCCTCTTGGTAATTTCCCAACATTGTTGACAACCTTCTCTCGGCCCCCCTCTTTCTCTAATGCCCCGCATTCTTTCATTCTTTAACAGCAGTGTGTGAGTCTTACTCGCCGCTCTGCTACCTCTCTGTCAGACCTGCAACCACTTGCAGAAGGAAGACTTGTAAAGGCACATTTTACTGACCAAACAACTGTCAGCATGAGTCAGGGGCTGAAGCAACAGGGTGTGATGATGACCTGGGTGATCATAGCAGATGATCATGTGAACAGGTCCAAACTGGAAGCTTTGGTCCTCCAAACAGCTTCAGACCAGCTAAAGCATGTCTAGATATTTGGAAACATGCATGATTTTGTCATCTAACCAGGTTGTTAAGCTGTTTAAGACTCTTTATAGCTGCAGTTAACTTTAAAAACCATTGAATCAGCTGTGTCAAGTGATTCGTTGTTTTTCTTCGGGCGCGGTGGAATCTTGCAAATCCCGCATTTCTTATTGCAAATCTTGTATGAAAATGGTAATACCAGACGGCTGTGAAACTACGAATTAAGTTCAAAACTCTGTATTATGATAGTACTGCAATGCAATTACAGGCTTTTCTGCCATGAAGCAAGAAAAAATTGAACTGTAGAGTAAATTGTCCCGGATCAATGTTTTGAATCAGGTTTGTCCCTCCATAGTGTGAACTGCATTTTCCCCAAGACCAGAGAGGGAAATGTATTTAACTTTCCTAACCGCAGAACTTTCTGCAACTGCTCATCCTCATAAACTTTCTTAAAGTTTAAACTATAATGCATGCACATTCACACAGATGCAGCACAACCAAAACACAACATTTCCCTGCTCCCATTGGAGCAGAATCTAGAGGTCGAAGAGCGAGCTGTGGTCCTGCTGCTGCACTATTAAGTGTCTCTCCTCTTTTATCTCCCCCCTGATTATTATGTTTAATCATCTACATCCTTCTTCTCTACTCCTCCTTGCTCTGTCTCCCTTGGATTGCATGTTTGGAATGAGTAGTGGGAAGGAATAACAATCCTCTGTTCGGCTCAGGCCTGAAGCTCCAGAGAGGAACAAGGGGGAGGAACATTGTGTCCCCGCACAAAAAAAGCAGGGCTTCACAGCCTCTCACTGTAGCTGCCCCAGAACTCTAATCTGTCCGCCATCTATCGAGACAAGCTGTTGATCGCAGTGAAGTGGAGAGACCTGGCTGTTTTACGGGTAATGATGGTGTGTCGAGTACAAACGCAAAGCTCTTGGCTCCAGTCCAGCTGGAGACCCTCGTCTCACATCGTCCCCCTCGCTCTATTTTCCTCTATTGAAGCATCAAAAAAATGTCATGAGACAGGTTTTATATAGTAGGAATGTTAAATCATCTTGAAGTAAAATGTCACTGGATTTGCTTTTGTCCTTTACTACTTCTCTTCTCTTTTGAAACTGTAGTTGTCCTGATGTCATATTGTCACTCACTTACTGCTCCTTCACACACTGTGAAAAGCTATAATGTGGATTTAATTTTTAGTGAGAGTTGAATCACAATTTGGCATTTATTGGGTGGTTTGGCTTACATGTTGGGCAGTAATGATGATGACAAAAAGAAGCAAAGAGGCGCAGGGCTGCGTGAGTGAGGAGTACTTTTCTTTACTGATTTAGCCACAAAATGCCAATTAAGTTTTTCATACTGGGAAAAATCCTCATTCTAACATAACTTGAGATGTTTTGAATATCCCAATTGCCCGTCTTTTTCTTCAAATGTATCTCTCCCACAGAAACAAATCAGCACCACATACTACAGCGACACTGTTCGGTGGTTTTTATTTTCATTTGATCCATTTAACGGCTTCTTGGACGACCCTCATGCTGCAAACACGGTTTTCTCAATGTGCTAAATAGGCTCCTATGTGTTCACTAATAATCTTACTGGATTTGAAGCACAGTGCATTATAAACTCTTCTACAAACATCAGAACACTTTATGTCGGGCCACAGTAGTGGAAAGATTAGGCTCTGCTGTGGCTGTTGACCATAAATGAAATAAACAGCCCCACACAGGCTGATGACTTATATGTGTCCTTATTCTGTCACGCCAGGGACAGTTTGCTGTTACGACCAACACACTTGGACTTATCTGCTTCAAATAGACACTGTCATTTTTTGTTTATGCACTGACTGCAGGGCGGAGAGATGCCACTCATAACTGATGGGGGGGCCCTTCCTCTGGAAGTTAAACTGCTCACAAAGCCATGTTAGCTCAGTCATCAGCTCCAGAGAGACGGGCCCCTTCCTCTCTCTCTGTATTGAGTTTCTCCAGCCTGCAATTATGTGTGTGTTTTGGTGAGGGTCTTTCTGAATTAGGAACAGACAGTCTCTCTGCCAACAAAAGTGAGGCATTCAGCAAAGGAAAGGGTGGAAAACGAAGCACAAGAATGCCAGCCGGAGTGCAACAGGGTCATTGGGGGGGGCGCATTGCAAACGTCCACCACCAGAGCTGACTGTTATGTCTTCAACCTCACATTCTTCACATCTGCTGCACTTTGATGATAAACCTGCCTCCATTCCAAATCTCTCAGATTCTGTGTGACTTTCTATCAGATCTGCCTGCATAACCCTCATCCAGACCACATTTTACGCATGACTTCCCAAAACTCTCACGCAGGCACGCACACGCACCCCTCCCCAATCCTGCTGTCTCCAACTCAATGTCTCCTTTCATCCCCTCACCTGCAGGGTGCCCCTTTGATAACTTTATATTATCTCAGTCTGCTCCTATGAGACCAAACAGGACCCTACCTGGTGAGAGGCCCCCCAATTCATACCTGGTAGCCCTGCTGTTTTAAAGCCCCGTTTCCGCAGGTTTGTGCTGAATCAGACGAGAGAGGGGGGGGGGGGGCGTGATTAAGGGTTAAGCCTAACCCAACATGCACAGCAGCCCTTTCATCTTCTACCACAGCGTGCAATTTGGAAGCTGGCAGGCACGCGAGGTAAGTGCATCGTAAAACGCAGCAACAGGTCTGCTAACCGATACTGGCGATCTGTTGTTATAATTAACTCGGACACACGCTGCGTCCCCATTGAGCGCAACTCCACTGCAGAATATGTCCTCTGAAAGCACTTGCATTTGAAACTATGGAACAAGTATGCGTATAACTCTTAAAGAACAGTTGCAGAAATCTTTGCACAACATTAGTTAGACAAAAAACAACCACAGTTATCTCCATCCCACACAGATAGCCTCTACTGCATCCCAGTTTGTGTCTCTCACCAGATCGCTATGCGCTCCTTCGGGTACTCCAGCCTCTCGATGCAGCCCAGGTAATGTGGCAGGCTGTGCGCTGCGTTACGAGCCACAATGGCGATCATAACTTTTGGCTTTAGCAGGGAGGACTCGGGCTTCATCTGCTCCTGCACCAGCGTCTCCAGCTCGGACACCACAGCGGCCAGCAGCGCCCACAGCACACCGACTCCTAGGGCCCCGACCGCCCGCATCTTCGCTTACAGGATTCCGCCGTGAGTCGCCCGACCTGGACCTGGAGTCCTGAGGCTGAGCGAGAGGGTGGAGAGAGTGCGCGAGGCAGGGGGAGCGAGCGAGAGAGTCGCGGTGGGAGGGGGAGAGAGAGAGAGGAAGGGAGGTGAAGCTGGGGGATAGGCTGGGTGGAGGGTTAAACCCTCCTACACCCGCACACATGGCTGCTGCTGCGGCACTTCCCCCTTTTAATGAAAAATAGTGCAAAGATAATAAAAACAAAATGTCTCATGGACACACAAACCACTAGTTATTGAGTTTCTGTGCTGGATGCTGAACGGAGCTTTCCGTCAGTGCTTTCATTCAATATTTGTCAACAAAATGTGAAGGACACCATGTTCTAAACTCATCATCACCCATGATGCCTGATGTCTGCAGCCTGTTAGTTATGCTTCTCCTTAATTATCCTACTTCCTGCATGCGTCTGTCCTTTTCCATGCCTTCGCCCCTTGACATCATCTTGGATGCTGCAGAGCAATGACATCAACCTTCTGCCAGACTGCTGCACCTTTTAACCTCTTTAAAAAAATTAAAAAAAACAACTTAATCTTAAGTTGATCTATTAGCAAAACAGCAGTAGTTACAGTAAGTTACAGCAACAAAAGTATATTTTTTAATTGCATTAAGGGGTTTAATTTGACTTCCTCCCTATTTATCATCTATAAGCAGTAAATGTATACAAACACATTGCAACATAGTTATAAAGTATACATGTATTGTATTTTAAGTATACAAAGTTTTGGAGATGCATGTTTTTCACAGGACAGTGACAATATGACATTCCTTAATTACGGGAATGTAAATTGCAACTAACCAAGATGATGGTGAGACAATCCAAAATGAAAGATATAAAATAACAGAAGTACAAATATGGGAAGAAATATGAATTTTCCTCCTCGCAGAAGAAAAATCAAAGTTCAGGACTAAAAGTGGCATGAATTTACTGGACAACATCAACAGTATCTGAAAAAAGTTTCTTGAGGACAAAAACTCTGTGGCATAAAACCATCCAATAAAACGCTGAACAGTCATGGCACCAAAACAAAACATGTAAGCAGTGCATTTCAAAAGAGAATGTTCCAAACCAATATGACACCGTGACAAAAACATTTAATCAAATTGGCACCAAAACACTTTCCAGCTTTCCAAACTTCCCACAGAAAATCACAAATTTGCTGTAAATATGTTGTACAGCTACGTAAAGTCTATAGAAACCTATCCACAAATATATCATTTCAACTCCAAAAGTTGGCACCCATGCTCCCAATGCTATCATAATATTATACCGCGTGTTCTTAGATGATTACAGTAACCCTCTAGTAACCTTTTTTTTTTTTTTTTAAATTGTAGTGCAGTCACAGCGCAGACAGACAGCTTCCTTCTGTCCCCGTCTCGACTCGGCTCTGTTTATTTGAGCTAGGATCTCTGCCACTTGGTAATGTTTTCCCTCCTCGTTGAGGTAATGAGAGTACTCTGCCATGTGCTCCGTTGTTGGATGCTCTGAGGATCAGGGACAGACAGAGAGCGACGATTTCAATCTGTCGGGGTAATCCATTAGCTCCCTCTAGTGCTTTCCTACAGACATTTAAGACCTGTAACATGAAGGGGCCCACTACAAAGTCCCCTCTCTCTCTCTCTCTCTCTCTCTCTCTCTCTCTCTCTCT